CTCAAAAATTTATTCTTGTACATCGCGAGAGGCAGGTGTGCCTCCGCTCCTTCCCTCTCGCATACCAGTCCCCCCCTCACTGTCTCTCACCTCTGATAGCTCGCAACACACAATCGTTGTTAATTCTACAGCTATACACGGTCATGCCACGCCGCCCTCCTTTCAAGCCCTCCTATCGGCACAAAGGTGGCTGTAGCAGCACCTCCTCCAACAGTAATTCTCGTGAGAACGCTCGCTCTACGTCCGGCTCTAACACCACCCCACGGCGCTCTTCCGTGCGAGCGGCTCCAATTGCGCGGTCTGGAACAAGCAGACCCCAGGTCCAGATCCGTAGAGGACCGTTCCTAGACGATACGTCCCTTGGCGCGCCTTCTGAAGCGAGTCATCATGCCGATGAAAACGACGACTTGCTGAATGAAATCGTCATGGCTGTCGACTTGAATACTCGCGGAACAGTTGGCTGCTGTTACTATATTGCCTCTGAAGAAAGACTTTACTTCATGGAGGATATACAGTATGGCCACGTTGACGTTGTCGACTCTTGTAGGTGCTTTATCAACTGGCATGCTTCATTCTTGCTCACCGTGCCAAGTGAGGATATACATCGATCCTACAGTTATCCTAGTCTCCACCAAGATCGACGATAGAGTCATTGACTGTTTTGACCCTGACGCCAAGAGTGGTGAAAATGACCAGTTTCGTCTTCCATTTGTGCTCGAAATCAGACCACCGAGCGAGTTCAATTATGATTCTGCAAAGAACAAGCTTGGAAGCCTTCATTTGGGAGAAGGCGATGGTACCCATATCGAATTCAACATTCCAGGAGAGCTCGCAACTGCAGGCTATCCGGAAAAAGGTCAATCAGCAGGTCAACAGGGGCAGCTTCTCCGACTCGCAGGGTGGATTGATCTTGAGAGTCGCTCAACGGTACTTGCTGACTTGTTGCATGACACCGTAGTATTTGCTAAAGCCAAGCAGGTTGGATGTGCTGGAGCACTGATATCATATCTGCAACGTCGACGAGCAGCAGCGTACCTCCCCGGTGATCGTTCCGCAGATCTCATGTTCCGCATCTCGAAACTAGAAATGTGCAGTCTTCGCGAGACCATGTTCATCAACACGGATACTCTTCATTCCTTACAGATCATGGGCGCTGAATCACATCCGCACTCGCATAACAAGGGTCCGACCAAGGCTAGCTCAGGCGACAAAGAAGGTCTCTCTATATATGGTCTATATCAACATCTAGCCCGAACACAGCAAGGAAGGTTCCTCTTAAGACAGCAGTTTCTACGCCCAAGCCTAAACTTGGATGTCATCAATGAGAGGCTGGATACCGTCAGTATCTTCACTCGTCCTGACAACGAGTCAGCACTACAAACACTTGTTAAAAACCTGAAAAACCTGGGCAACATGCGTGTGACGATGGTCAATCTTAGAAAAGGAGCAAACAGCTTGACGAGAGGAACTGGAGGATTTGCCAAGAGTATATGGACGTCTATCCGAGCGGTATGCACAAACCATACATCATGTCAGTGCCTTTCTTCAACGACCTAATTGTAACAGTTTGCTTTCCATGCCCTGAAGATCAAAGACACACTTCAGGATGTTATCGGCGGAGAAAACCTGGTCATCAGAGATAAGGTAAACGCTCCCAAGAGATACCTAGATGTGGTCACCTTCTCACTCTAGACCAATGGAATATGACTACAGTCTGTTTACTGATTGCTGCAGGTCTTCGGAAAGCTCGAAGGGTACCACCTGGCTCAGATCGGGCGAAAGATCAGTGAAACCATTGACTTAGCTGGCTCAGCAGAAGAGGGCCGCACTGTGATCATGCCTGGCATCGACGAAGAGTTAGACCAGATGAAGTTGACCCTAGATAGTCTCGATGACCTCCTCAATCAGGTAGCGAGGAAGTTATCCGAGAAGATGCCTTCTGATCTGCGTAGGTGATACAGCTTCTGCTAAGAAGAGGCTCTTGAAGTCGATGCAGCAATGAGTTACTAACTTAGCCAGGCGCTACTCTGAATGTAATCTACTTCCCCCAGATAGGCTTTCTTTGCACAACACCGATTGATCCAGATACAGGCGGTGCGGTTTACCATGGCAGTCTCGAACATCCTTGGGAGAGGATGTTTGCAACGGAAGAGCAGGTCTACTTCAAGAACAGCGAAACGAGAGAAATGGATGAACACTTTGGCGACGTCTACGGCATTATCGCAGATCGCGAGATTGAAATCAGCCATGGACTAGCCCAGTATTTGCTCCAGTACGAAGAGCTCTTGACTACCTGTTCTGATATTTGCGGAGAGCTTGACAGTCTACTGGCCTTAGCTCAGGCTGCAAAGATCTATAAGCTTTGCCGTCCCGAGATTACATATGAAAATACTATACGCATCAAGGGAGGACGGTAGGTTCAGGGGAATGAGCCGCGTTGTTTTATTACTGATATCGTCAGTCATATGCTCCAGGAGCTTTTGGCGTCTTCTTTCGTCGCAAATGATACTGCAATGAAAGGAGGTGAGGGCGATGGAGAAATCGCCGATGAGCAACATGACGACCGTCTGTTTACCAGTCCGACAATCCGTCAAGCGCATGCCTACGAAAACAGTCCGAGTATGCTCATATTAACTGGTCCAAACTACTCAGGAAAGAGCGTGTATCTCAAGCAGGTTGCTTTGATTGTCTACATGGCGCACGTTGGGGGCTTTGTGCCGGCAGACACGGCAAGGATCGGGCTTACGGACAAGATCCTCTCCCGAGTTACTACGCGCGAGACAGTGTCTCATTACGAAAGCTCTTTTATGCTTGAATTGCAACAAATCTCGCTTGCTCTAAGCCTATCCACGCGTCGAAGCCTCCTACTCATAGATGAGTTTGGTAAGGGCACTGCATCAAGCGATGGAGCTGGTTTAGCTTGCGCAGTCATGGAATACTTGTTGAACTTGGGCAGCGAAAGGCCAAAGGTCATTGGAGCTACGCACTTTCATGGTATGATAGTATACCCTGGTACCAGAACGTTCTGACGCGCCTAGAAATCTTTGAGATGGATCTACTCAAACCTCGACCCACACTTGGATTTGGATACATGGAAGTGCGCGTGGATACTGAAGCGAAGAAAATCAATGATCAGATCACGTACCTATACAAGTAATACGTGTTCATGCATATCGCTTGCTAGGTACTAACTATATGTAGCTTCCGAGAAGGCCGGAGCACCTCGAGCTTCGGTACATGGTGAGCTCGTGCAGCGCTTTCTATTAGGTTGATACTAATGCCGACATTAGCTGTGCTGCCATGAATGGCGTTCCATCTGAGATCGTACAACGTGCCGAAAACCTTATACTTCTTGCAGCACAGGGGGAAGATCTGGTTTCGGCATGCTGTCAAGTACCAGAGGACGAGATAGCCGAGCTCGAGGAGGCAGTAAGTGTGTTCCTGGATTGAGTGGAATTATCTAAATCCAGTTTAGGAGCAGGTCGCACGGAAATTTCTCAAAGCGGACGTTTGCCGTGATCCGATGTCCGTGCTGTCCGACATACTGACAGTCTCCACAACATCATAGTACTTACTCACGCGGAAAGAGCACACGACGTGAGTTGGAAGGGTCGGGAAGGGCCGAACAAATGCGAAGGAAGGGGATAACGCCGAGCCGGAAATTTTGAGACGTGGATACGCCCGGTAACATGTACACCTGTGTCTAGAGTCGATGAATGCATTCTGCAGGCTGCATGTCGTCTGCTCGCATTGGTTCACGCGTCGCGTTGATTTACCTAACGTGCAGGTCGCTAGCCCCCGCACCCCAGAGAATATCTAGGAGTGTTGTAGCCATGACTCTGGTATATCTAGTATGCGCGCTACCCAGAGCTTTTTGACCTTGGCCGTTTCAGTTGCTGGAAAGGGCGCTAACCAGGCCAAATGGAGCCTTGGCGGGCGAATTAAGGCTTATCCGGTTTTAATTGTTACGATTGAGTTCTGATTAATAACTCAACGAGAGGTATTTACCCAATCAGGAAGATTTCCGACGAGTTTGATCGGTATGAAAAAAAGACGTCTGGTGGGGACGATGATGGGTGAAGATATGTTTCTTTACCATTAGAGTTTTGACAGATCACGTGGCGCAAACTGGGCAGCTTCGGTGGAGGTAAAGGGAGTTCCTTAGTTGCATTTGGATGTTGGGCCTGGAATTGAATTGTCTCTGGCGCCTATGTCTTTTTGGGAAGGTGGTGTGAATGCTACACAAGAAACACTACAAAGGCTTCAACCACAACTAAAACTAAACAACATGCCCTGTGAGAATTGAATTCACTAGCTAGAATTTCCCTATTGGGATTTGGACCTCCGGCTGATTCGACTAGAAAACGAGAGCGATTGGTAAAGCCATGCATGTCGTTTGAATGGAACGGAGGTTCATGTGAAGATCCAACCCAGGATATCCAGTTTATCGCGCTTATAGTGTCTAGCAGCGTCAATCATCCCAGCCTATTACCACGATCGGTATTATAGCGAAATAGAGGGAAGCACGCAATGAGAATTGGCAACTTGGACTGCGGTAGATATCAACAGAACTCTATTTACACGCATCTAATGTACCACCCCTACCCTATCCCTACTGATTAATTCACCTGACAGGCGCTAGAGAAGAAACCCCTGGCTCGGTACGCGGTAGGTGAAACGGAACTGACAATGCGAAAGTAAACAGGCCATCAACGGATATCCTCAAACGACGTTCTGGATCTTATTCCGATCCCGCGTTGCTTAGATAGCCTGGTGTGCCGTCTGTTGACTGCATGGAATGTTGCGTGATATGGGGGGGTAATATGTACCGAGGTGCATTTGTGATTATGCAGATCACTCTTTACTTGCCTCATTGGAATGCTTGTTCCGTTAGAGGATGCAGAAGATGAGAAGATGAAGCCTGTAACCTGGAGTTGGGGTACTTGGGCCTTATACTAAGTACGACGTAAGTATATGCGGCTCTGTACAGGTAGGGCCCATCATTCGCTCGCGTTGAATGCTATCTCTGGCCCCAATACTCCAAAGGCTCCATGTCCTTGACTTTGCCGTACTCGGCATGTTCCTGAATCGTTCGGCACTGGGTCGATGGATTCGAGTCGAGTCGAGTCGTGTCGTGATCCTGGGAGCCTGAAGGACGGGAAGGGGGACGAATGTAACGTCGCGCTAGCGGCCAAATGTTAGCGCAGCCAACGGCGGGAGAGGAACGGGGCGGCTACGTACGCGCATTCCGTTCCTCCGCTCAACCCACCACGGCCACCACGGCCACCACGGCCACCACCACCACGCCCTGACGTGCTGAGTAGTGCCCACTTGTTCTTTGCGCAGAGAAGGTGAAGACATCGACTCGGCAGCTCTCGCATCACGGACCTACATGTTCTGCACGTCGAGTGGCTACTGACAGCACTACTCTAGCCCTACTACACTAGGGCTTCTCATAGTCTCTGCCTTACCGCCACGAGGCTGCACGTATCTACCACGCGTCGCCGCCTACTTGCAGCCAGAACGGAGCTTTGTCGGCGGGGTCCTCATCGCACTTGCATACGTATTATCGCGAAGACCAGGCTCCGCCCGTCGCAAGGCCATGACTGCTCGAGGCGACGAACTGGCTCTGTGAGCACCGCGTAGTCATCATTCGCACGGTCGGCCCGCTTCAGCAAAACCCTGGCTTTGCCTGTTGGCAGATCCCTGCCCAGTGGGACCCCGCGAATTGCACAGTCTTGGTTAGTGTGCAACAAGCAGCACTCATCATCAAGCCATTCATCTGACCGGTTCCCTGGATCCTAGGATCCTGACTAAACCTTCCATGGGTAGACCCTCCGTCCTACGCAATCTGTCCTACTTGCCTTCAGCCCTGGGAGCTACCAGACGTTGCCTGACATGCCCTCGTGTAGCCTGCACACCGAATGTCTTACCAAATGCCTGTTAGGTCAGAGGCCCAAGGCTCAGCTGCTTCCGCCCTCATGATTGGCAAGCGCTACTCTTTCTGTGTAGCGGATTAAACAAGCTAAGTCAGCACTAGAACCCCCACGCGCCCATTGAGCAATGGTATCAAGAGCGACTGACTGTGGCATGCAGCAGTGGTGGCTGGATGCAAATCTTTGGCGCCGTGCTGCAAAGCCAATACTACTATGGAACGCCGCACCAGCATACCTACCTAAGCGGCGACCCACTCGGTGTAACCCTCATGGGAGTAATCTACCCATACCGTCCGGCTAACTCCTCTTCCTCCGCCTCAGCACCAGGCTGCCGAGCCTCAATGCAAGATATATCCGGCTTGCTGTGTTTCGTCGCTCAAACGTATGGCCGATGCCGCGAGATGTTTACAAAACTACCTCCGAAGCCGCACGTCCGAGGGTACGTACCTTGAGGCTATGCCAGGTTCCGGTGTGCGCGGCATTTTCCCATCTTCATCACTAGCGATACTAATGCGTTCGTATGGATTCGCATGCTCCTTGAGTTGTACTAGACTTGATAGAGGCAAGGAACTTGCCATGTAAGCCTTCAGCCCCATCCAAGCACGTCCGACATCGATGGCTGCACCAATCCCTGTCCCTGTACTCCCAAGCATCAGCTTGACGCTACTCGACCGCCCCCCCCCCCCAGTGATTGTCGCATGTACGCCTCCTGCAGGCTGGATCCAGCTATGATCCTTGCCGTATCCATCCTAGTTAAGACTCGCATTCTCCGTCGCCAGCTATAGTTCTATATAAAAACACATGCCACTTAAACGCTCGGTATAGTCATCCTTCAGTCACCCTGCTGTCGATACATATTCTCCCGGGCCCAGTCCAGGCATACTATCCTAATCAACCACCACTACGCGAAATGGAGGATACCACATTCAGCCAAGAGGCTGCTTCAGCAGCTAGTGCCTCCAAAGCACTCCAGAAGCCCCGGAAGATGAGAGCTTCATGTGACGCATGCTCTCGTGCCAAAGTACGCCTCTCCGTTCATGTATTAGTTGTCAATTCGTTAACCAGCAGCAGGTCAAGTGCGACAAAGTAAGACCAACTTGCCAGCGATGTGGTACCATTAATGTTTGCTGTAACTATTCCCCGTCTATGAGGTATATCATCTATCCATTCGATATGATCTTGCACTCATCACGCGCAGATTGGGTAAACCCCGCAAGAACCGGAATCTGGACGGAACGATCAAACGTGAAGTATCACCTGCTGGCTCATACCGACCCACGGGGGCTCAGTTTGATTTAATTCCACGCACTGCCTCTCATACATCTGAGAGTTCACCGGAGCCAATAGACCCCTTCTACTTTGGTCCCAGCACGCCGGAGTTTCACTATCAAGATGCTTTCGTCGCAAACAACTTCGGCGATAGTCTATCGCCAGCATGCTCTGAAGGAGGTGCTATGTCTTTCGTCAACGCGTGGGCCAACGATGATCACATGATGTTTGGAAGCCAGACGGATATGTTCGTTCCCATGCCCCAGTATCTTCCACAACAACACACTCCTGTACATGGACACGTACGTTCCATCAGTACGCCCAGCCAACCTGACTTATTTGCATCACTGGAATCGCAACAGCCTTCACCGCATACTAGCCACCAGATGCTGAATGCGCAGCATAACATATTCACATCACAAGAGACGGTTATTGATTCACCTTCGCCAACACTATCCGCAGCACTATCAACACCTCCAGCATGGGGAAACTTTGCAACCCACGATTGCACACTGTCCGCCTTTCAAACACTGAATAATTTATACGTACCACTCGAGCCCCAAACTTCTGCCAGCGACTTCACTAGTGTGGTGAACGGTTCTCCAACACTCGAGTCCATCCTAGCCACCAACAAGGCCGCCGTGGATAGTTTGTATACATTACTAGAGTGCGACTGCACATCAAACCCCCACTTCGCATCGACCATCAATCTTGCAACTATGAAAATCCTCTCGTGGTTCCAAGCCATTGCACGAGCGCACGACCACCAGCGCGGCCTCCCATACATCTCACTCGAGACTCAACTCGAGCTCTGCACGCAACCCCACACTTCGGACTCGGAAGCGGAATGCGCCCAGCGCACCAGTCTTGTTCTTGCTGAGCTGTGCAGGATCGAGAAGCTGATCGATAAGTTTGCAGAGCGCTACTGCCGACGCACCAGCACCCCAGGCGACCTGGCAGAGCCAGATATCAACAACGGTGTGTATCTCTCGATGGAAGCTTCTCTCCGGACCCGGGTGAGGGACACGTTCAGGATCACCATGGCTGTTGCGCCCGAGAGTGTCAAGCGTCGCATGGCTTCTTCGCGGACGACGCAAAACAGAATGCGTGTCAACACTATGTGATGTGTCTAGCATCATGACATACTTACGCGATGAATTTTGGTGAATGTTCTTCCTTTTTTTTCCTTTTCTCCTTCGGCGTCATCTACTTGATTAACGAACAAACGCATGTACGCGTAACGTTTTCAAGACGGCAAAATGAGCGCGGTTCTTTGTTTTTCTCTTTCATGTCTCAATCTTAGATGCCGTTTTGTTCATGCTTTCTCCACGTAGAGAGACTAGATAATGGGTTTTACTCTGACCCTCCCGCAACGGTTTCATCAACCACACATGTACATTATTCCCGTAGAAAGCTCGATTACGATCTAAACGGGCTCTCTATATTATAGCAGCAGTGCGCGCAATAAAGTATGCATAGCAGTGTTTTCTTCCAAGTATTTCTCTGCGACTACATCCATATGTCCGTGCCTCTGAGAACCTTTTACACCAAAAAACCACAACACGAAAATCCAAAAAAAAGGATCCCGCCAAAATGAACAAGACCATCACAATCCTCACTGGCATGTGAATGAGCGTGAGCAAGAAAAACGTCCAAGTCGTGCATAACCCGCCGCTCCCCCGCCTTGCCCCTACCCACCCACGACGCTTTCTACAGTACTTCGCTATGAGTTTCCCATTCGGGTCTATCTCCGACTCCCCTCCCTCACCCCCTCCCTCCCCCTGCCCTACGCACCTCATCTAGACCCGCTCACTCCCCCCTTCTCTCTTACCCTTACACAGTAAACGAAGGGCAAACCTGCCTAGTCCCGAAAGAAAAAAAAACATTTCCATCTCACCCTTTACTTACCTTGGCGTGTCCTCCCTCCCTCCCCCCCACCCTTGTCTTTCTCGCTTTCATTTCCTGTTTGACGGATTTTTTTGGTCTTACTTTCTTACTTACTTGTTGACCCCACTTGCCGGTAACCGGAGCGGGTGAGGAAATCTCGGACATGTTTTGCGTAATTAAATAGGGTGCGGAAAGCGGAAAAAACGAGGGCGAGGGAGGAGGGGGGGGGGCATGTAAGGGCCAGATCGTATTGCGTGTGTAATCGTGCTATGGAAAAGTGACGGATTGGGAAGAAGCTAGAGAAAGAAAGAGAGAGAAAGAGAGAAAAAAAAGAGGGTATAGGCTCCACTATTCTTTACGGGAGATATTTATTTTTTGGCGGGTTTACCTACTTCAGTACTTAGCCGGGGCGTGCCGGGGAAATAGGGCCTTTTCTTTTCTTCTTCTGTCTATCTCTTTTAAGAGTAATGGTAGGTGTACGTATGCAAAGGATTATTATTACTGTGCATTATTATTATTCTTTTTCTTTTCTCCTAGGAGGAACAGGAGGATTGGGGCCGCCCCACTGGGATTTCAGGCGTCCGATTATTTTGTGTGCGTGCAAATTAACGAACACGTAGGCTTGGGTTGGAATAGCGGTGGTAAGACTTGATTGTGGGTTTTACCCGGCAATTTGGGTTTGGTTGGGTTTGGTTTGGTTGACTCGGCAGATGGGGCGATGTGATTGACGAGGTTTGTGAAGTGCGTATTTTTGGGGGGCCTGGCGCTTGAGGTGATCTGTGAGGGAGTAGTCGCGTACTTGCGCGCTTGGCCGATGTTGCTGCTGCTGATACCGCTGGTGCTGGTACTGCTGTGGGCAGCAGTGATGGCGATGCAGCTCGGCTAAGCGGTAGAGTACCAATGTAGCCAGTGTGAGTCGACTTTGCAGCAACCGACGACGTCTCAATCCGTCTTTTTTTTTCAAGTCATCATGGTGAGACTGCTATGCCCTGTAATCCGCTTGCAGGTCTCGTCCATGCGCTCACCCACCCACCCAACCCACTTCGTTTCCCACACTTCTCCATTTACTTAGTCATGGTGGGAAAGTTCTCTCTACGCCCCTCCCGCCAACTGCCCTGACCAAGCTTTGGCAGTATGGGCGGGTGGCTCCGCGCCACATGCGCAGCCTAAACATAGGCCGGCCTAAGACGAACAGCTCTTAGAGAGAGTGCAAGGGTAAGCGTTCCCTGGACCAATGGAAGAGTAGGCTGCTTCCTGTTGCCTTCCAGAGTGGGACTGGACAAAAGGGTGGCTGAGACATGCACGGCGCATGTGCTGAGGCGAGTAAGCCACATAGTTGACCCTTCATGTTGCAATGGGGCGTCGTAAAATCCCAGGGAGGAGAAAGCAAGTTGCGAGGGAGGGCGGGCGTGCGTGCCTGTGGGCTTGCGGCGCCCTGTGTCGTGTGCTGCGAGTGGAGAGGTGGTGGTGATGAACGGGCAGCGGGCAGTTCACGCGCGACAACGCCTCTACGGGCCGCCTTGCGGATCTCCACTACGGCCCGGCTCTGTTTCCTTTTCCACCGCCCGGCCGCACGCCCGCCTGTCAAAACAACAATACGTCTGCCAAACGTCCTGTCAACGTCCTGCGAACAACTGCACTCTGTACACATGCACCACCTTGCCTCGCCGACCTGAACCTGCCCGCTGGCTCCGTCTGCCCTATGATCGCCGATCTTGGTTAAATCCGTGTGCTACACAGACTGACGCAATCGTCATCGTATCCTGTCGTCTTGGATCCTTAGCATCACCTCAGCCCCCACGCCCTATAAACTGAGACCACCCCGCCACCGGGATCGGGGAGCTGGCATCACTTGTCTCGCCGCCTGCCTTGATTCTTGATTGGGACAAAGGCTGCCTGACAGAGCAGATGCTAGGCTCTAGACTGTCTTGGTCGGCGGGGCAAGGCGTCCCAAATACGTAGCCATTGGCCAAAGTAGATTAGATGGATGGATCAACCTTGTATTACGGCTCAGAGGACAAGATAAAGCATGCTACTGCGCATCGGAGACGAGGCGTGTCTGGTACTACAACAACAATGCGTCAGGCCTTAACAGGGTCATTATGCGGATACGGCATAGCCATGTACTTGTGATGCGAGCCGCCCTATGAGCTGGAATCCCAGTGCCATGGATTCACACACAGCCCAGTCTAGCGAGGAAAAGAATCGGTCCCTGAATAACTATGCCTCTAGGTTACATTCCGCAAATGCTGTCTGTTCCCTCGAGCACGTTCACTGGGCACAGCCAGTCTCTCTCACGTGCTCTACATAGCCGCCTTCTCTGGCACGGTCCCCTTGGGACGCCTCATCTCCCGCCAAGGTTACCCTGTTAGGCCAAATCCTACTCTGTGCTATGATGTGATCCAAGGGTCCTCGTACTGTACGCCAAGTGGCTGTTTGTGAACACGTAATGTGAATCCTATGAAGACGTTGATCTGGGGACAACCGACTTAGTGGGGTAACCCTCTACCGGGAAAAAGGTTCGGCGTGCAGAACAGTTGGTGATTTGATAATGCTGATTCAAAGTTTCTGTCTCAAACCACCTTTAGATGCTGCTGAGAGTAGTGAGGTGGTTTTCATGCACAGTGTAATCCATTGCATCCTCATAGCCAATTGAAGAGCCGCTCCTTCGTACCGAGGTCTCTGATAAACACCGCACGGAAGAGAAGATTGTCATAGATGCTACAAATTGGTGGGTAGAGATAAGCAGTTAAGCGAAGAGGTGACGGGCATAACAAGCGATCAGCAGTGGAGCTCATCTCAACCGTCGCTTCCAAAGGACGTATCCAAAAGAAGAAGTAACAATGTCAACCCCAACACCCTTGCAGGAAAGCCAAGACTAACCACTTCCTTTCCCTGATCAACCATCTTTCCCTCCTCAACTCCCTCGCATCTTCATCTCACCCATACACCGCTATCTGCGTAAGCCAGACGCAGTCAACAAAACGCACTCACAAACGCAAACATGCCACACCCGCCGAACCCCATCAATCCTATATGCACAATATGCTAGCTTAGCACCGATGAACAGCGTGTCGGTATCCCGCTTTCTCACGGGAGGAAAGGGATAATAAAATAAGGGTGGGCGGAACACGTGGGAATGCTTGTAGCTTACACCGATGACAGCCCATGTTCACACTGCGTCATCAGCCTTATTTGTTCAAAGCCTGGTGCGGACCCCGGCTTAGCAGAAATCTACACAGCGGTCAAAGACACTCTGTCGTACATGAGAAGGATCATATCTTATCGCACCAAAAAACCGTTGACTACCTTTTTGCGGACAGGCTTGCATTAACGCGTGGGGGAGTCATTAAGCGGAAAAGCACTCCACACCAAACACTGACGATCTCTACACTCTCAAGGTACATTTCCTGTTTCGTATGATTTGAAGTGGTGTCGAATTGGTCTTCGCTCATACATCGTTGAGGACCATCTTGCTTACTTACTAGTACTATCCGATATTCGTCCGTATCACCAGATCGTCAACGACACACTTGGTGCAAACGTAGAACACCGTATACAACGTACAGAAGATTCACAATCCCCAGTCTGACAGGAAAAGTACCTTGCTAGCCTCGGATACTACATGCTTCCCCATGTTCATTAGCGTTGTATCGTCATCTCCCTGATCGTCCCGAAACTACCGCTGCTTAACGGAAACCCATGTCGTATCCTCGTCACGCCCAACATGGATAATCGCTGCAACAAGCAGCACCTCCTCATCGTCCGTCAGAGGATCAGCATCGTAAACATGCGTTCAACGTCTTCTCGCTTAACCAGTGACATTTCTTGTGCGCACGTACCGCTCCACGTGGATGGAGCTCGCGTAGGTAGTTGGTTATAACTGAGTGACATTTCATTGCGCTATGCTGGAACAATTGCGCCAAATTGCTAATATTTTGGCTCGATGTATCTGAATGCATACTCTATGTTGTGTTACTTTGAAGTTGTTTGATGGAGGGAGATGTTGTGGGACCTGTGGGGTAGGCATTCCATAGGTTGAAGCTATGGGGATATCGTGCTAGGGCCTCTTGATCTGATATGTGGATGTACAAATGTAGGAAGTGGCCTTGCCAGAGATACGCCTTTGGAGGAAGGTAAGGCGCGACACACGCAAAGATGACAGGGCTAGAGAAGAACATGTCTACTGCAATTTTCTTATACGTAGCAGCGGATACATTGATTCCAACATAGTACATGTCACTTAGTACCTCGTTTTTTTTACACCAAAAGCCCTCTACTTCCCCAAAACACCACTTGCTCCCCCTGCCACCCACTCACCCACTCCCCTTCCTCGATCTTGTCCTACTCTCTCCCCTCTCCTCCTTCGCCCCCTTCCCCCTCGCCTTCGTCTTCTCCTCCTCCTCCTTCAACAACCCCAACACCTCCTTCTCCCTCTTCACCCTCAACTCCTCTTTATACCTCTCCACCTCCACCCTCCTCTTCCCCATCGCCGGCTCCATCAAATACCTCGGCACCTTCCTCGGGCGCGCCGTAAACCTCGGCGGCTCCATCTCCATCTCCACCGCATCCTCATCATCCAGCTCCGACTCCGACTCAAACTCCTCATCATCTATTCTTCCGTAATCAGGGGGTGGCGGGAACTTTCGGCGCGCGTACACGGCTTGTTGCATGTCGGTCGTGTATGCGATTGCGAGTCTGAGTTTGCGTTCTAGGCGGGCGATGGTGCCGCGTTTTTTGTCGTCGGAGGTGGAGGCGCGGTGGTAGAGCTTCTGCATGTAGGCGTAGTCGCTTTCCAAGGCGGAGATTTTGGCGTGCAGGGCGGCCGGGGCGCGGGCCGCCGGGTCGCTGGTGAAGGCGTGGTAGGCAGAGATGTAAGTGAGTATTTCTTTGTCTTTTTCGTCGAGGGCTGCTTCGAATTCTTGCGTGCGAAGTTCGAGTTCGGTTTGTTTGAGGGCGACTTCTGATTTCCAGTCCGAAGCTAGGTGTTGAGAGTCTTCGGCTTGTTGGGTGAGGAGCGTGATTTGTCCTTGGAGGTCTGCTAGCTGCGAGTGAAGGTCTTGCTGGGCCTTCTGGAGCCGTGAATATTGCTTGTCTTCTGTGATAAACGCTTTCAGCTTTTTTTCAGCAAATATACGCTTTGCTCTTTCTTCTTTGTAGAGAGCCTCGATTTTCTCACTGCTGTACAGCGGGTTTGTCGGAAGCATCAGACCGGGAGTCGGTGGAACCTCCTCGTACGACTGCTCTTCGATGGCCTTTTTGATGTTGGTAATTTCGTATTTTTTATCCTCCAATTGACGCTCCAGATTTCCATTCTTCTCAACAATCATCTTCACGAATTGCCTCACATGCAGCAGCACTTCGTTGGTCTCATCATCATCTGCGCAATCTTGTATGACCTGATTGAGATCATTAGGGTCGATGGCTGTGCCTTTGAACGATATTTGTATCCACCATGCGATGACTTGGCCCATATCACATACTGACTTTTGTAGCCTTGTAAGTTTCTTATTACCCTCCAATGCCTCTTCCTCAATATTTGCGGCGTGTTGAGTCATGTCGACTAGTTCGTTATCTTTTCTCTTCAGCTTAGTCTCCATCTTGGCAATTTCATTTTCCTTCTCCACGACTATTGCTCCGAGCTTCTTGTTCTCTGTTTCTGTCGCTTCCTCCTGTGACGCTTCGGTCTTAATCTGGCCCTCGAGTTTTCGATATTTGGCGGAGAGTGCATCGTAGTCTTGCTTCCACGTTTCTAATTCGGCCTTGTAAGACTTCAGTCTGTCCTCCACGGCCCTGTCATGCTCCATGCTAAAAGCTTTAAGATTTCCATTCTCAGCTACTAGCTCGTAGTTACGCTGACGCAGGCTCACAACCTCTTCATTGGTAGTTTTCAGTTCTCCGCATAGTTCCTTCATTGCTTTTCCCTCTATGCGTTCATATTCGCCTACTCTTGATGATCCGCCCAAGTTTGTATCTTTTCCCTGATTCCAGCCGCCGAGTATCTGGGTCACATTATTCTCATGAAATTTCGGGCTATCCGTCGGATTGAAGGAGGAGCTCCGAGTTTGATGAGATTCACCCCTTTGTTCAGTTACCGAGTGAGACAAGTGTTAACTTTCAGCGCCATCATTCCAGTAGTTTCTGAGAGCACTGTTACTACGCGCCAGAGGAGTCGTGGGCCGCGTGCTATGCATGGAGGATGATCGCAGTAAAGGACTGCCCTGGCGACTGAAAGGCTCAATCTTTTCATGTTTCTTCGCTTGGGACGATCTCGTAGGTGCAAAATAGCTGGATGGACTGTTCCTTGATCGGGGCTTTGCATGGTTTGGATCCTTTCTGTAATCAGTCTCATCGAGCACACCGGTTGGACTTTGTATGCCAAATATAGTTTCATCCCGATATGTCTCGCCATCTGTCGCATTTGATCCTTCAGGTGGCAATGAGAGAGGTAAATTAGTCTCTATAGTTTCTTCTATACGACCAAGTAAGGTTGGCCACCTTCGTGTTGCTTCCTTGCCAGGGCTTGGCGGATTTGTGGTCTCATTTTCGTACAAGGAGATGTCTTTCTTTGGGCTGTTATTGTTCGACATAGTCCTTGGAGTTGTCTCTAATGCAAGTTAATCAGTGAGATTGACACAAATTACTCAGCCTGCGAATGTAGAAAAGGTCTTCGCCATGGCTAGTCTAATGTGGCTGGTTCATTGTTTCGGTGGTTTTGTTTCGAAGCCCTTTCAGCAAAACCAACGATCGACTGATTACGTAGTGGATTCAGGTGAGATTCAAAGACATTGCTATGTACAGGATGCCACCATCATTCTTTATTGGCTTGTTTGTTGCAAGTCCCTGGGGTCCCTGGCAGGTCAGAGGAAAAGGCGTTGCTGCAGTTTCCGATGGCTTTTCGAGAACCACAATCACAACATTTTACTCGCCAAGAAGTCTGTTCTTTCTAACATATATGGTTGGTACCTTGCGCCCGGTTTATTATCTACTCGAGACGAGACATTCGCCTTCGAGCCGTCTTCAGCCTACGCACCGAGTACTTGCTAAAATCAATGTGATCACGATCGTCGCGGCCCGACAAAGTATAATATTTCCATTCTCTAAACCTAAAGGAGCACCATTTCCCATATCAAAGTCTGGGACCTCCTGCGGTAGGCACTCGACAAATGCAAGCTAGAGAAGTGCGGTTTAAGTGGCACGGCGTGCCAGCGCGCCACCAACTCCACAGAATAGTGTAGCACAGGTCTAGCTGACTGAACTTAGAAAGGCGCCATTGATAAGTCCCATTGCTCTGAATGCCATCGTGGTCAGCTCTGGGTGTAATCAAGAATGCTAAGCTGTGAAGAATAGGGAACAGTTCAGTATGCGTGGAAGATAAACATGGGAAATCGGAAATCAAAAAAGATAAAAGGTCGGCTGATGGGCGAAGAAAGAAAATGGAAGGTGGCTAACTTTTCCAGTTTTACATGAGTTGTTGGATTTTCCCCCTCGCTGAGCGCAGATCGAGGATTGGCTGAGCTTGAAATGTTGTGAAATGCCCTTACTGACAGGATGCGCTCCTATTCTTGCCCGCTCGTCTCAGCGTAACCAAAGATTCGGTGTGAGTACGTTGTTGTCCCGAGACTTTTCTTCCGTTGTCGTGATCGAATACTCGACAGCTGCCCGTCGCGACAGAGCCCAAACAGCCGTATTACCGGAGAACTCTCAGTTTGACTGGATTATTGAGCGGATCCGGTCGCCTGAGATGACTTCAAGTAGTTAGTGGCCAGCAGTTGCTGGGCGCTTGGTCTGAAAATGGTGCGATTATTGCGTTCGAGTCCCACAGTAATCAGCGGGATCCCCGAGCAAGAACCTCACGGCATAGTTCCTTGATCCAACCGCAGCCGTTGATCTGCTTGCGAGGGTCTCTGTTAGCGTACCGATGCCAAGCTAGTGAAGTCGAAAGCACATGTCCAGACATGGAAGACAACCCTAGAAGTGGGGGCTGCTGTGCACTTCACAGGTCCAATCATGTCGTTTAACGCGGTCGCTGTTATTTTGTGGACACAAAGGGACTGCTATTGGAGCCTACAGACCGTAGTGACCCAAAATATGTTAGTGAGGACGGCTAGACTGTCGACGGCACTCCCGTGCCATGGAAGCGTCCGTGGTACTTGATAATTGTGGTCAAGTGGGGTAAACCGTCAAAACCCTATAGCATGAAGTAGGGGGGCCACACTGATCGCTGGCTATCATGGAGAGCACAATTGCTGGCTTTCCACTCGTCGCTATTTCTTATGGCCAGTTAAATTAGGAAAATATATCCATTGAAATGAGCCCGCGAGACACGCGCAGGGTTCGTCACGGACAGCCAGCAATGGATATACTGCAAGCCTTATTAACACGCTTGTGGCATCGAGGTCTCAAAACGTGACCTGGCGGCTCGATAATGACTTCTGGCTAGCTATGAGAGTATTGCTGGCTTGAGTGAGTTGAAGTCAGGATAAGGGCACAGTAGGTGGTCTTTGGCAGCGATGAAGTTGTCTAGAAGCATATGTGACCATAGGCTCCTTTCTACGGCGAGAGCTTAACATCTGACAGTGGTAACACAACGCTATATCCCAGCAGTGATTCATTACTGATCGGGCTGGCTGACGTGTACTCCTAGAGTACTCTGACGGAGCTGCAACCGTCATGGTAGCTTATTTGCTGTTGTTCTGGATGTACCGGCCAAAACAGATACGTCCAAATTTCACAAACAGCATTGAACCCCCTGATCCACAGTGGTGTCGGCAGTGATGGGATCCACATATGTTTCGCGCTTGCTCAGACCAATTGCCACTGTCTTTGAGGGTCGGTCAAATGGGGTTACACAAAGTTGAGACTGTTTGGTTGACATACCAGAATGGTCCTAGCATGCATTCCGGAAGGAGGTCTACAGGAAGCGCATATCGACACGATCGACCGGAAGTAACCGAACCTTTTGCTGCATGCATCCAGTGTGCAGGACCTTGCTGAGCTGTCCACTGCTTCTCGCTTAGAGATATTGAGGGCCAGGTTCCCCGAATAGACTTGCCTCAAATTCATCCATGCTGAACTAAACAGCCGCGAACGGACAGGGTTGACGAGATTATTCTTGGTTCAAGCGGTCAACGGGCTGCTCAGCCTTCCTGTAGTGGCGCACCGTGACCAGCGTGTCGGGATGCCATGTTGGTCCTTTGTCCACCCGCTACAAATGTCAAAATCAACTGATGTATCATGTTTGAGTACCAACTAGTTCCGGGTTTTCCCATTAACTGATTGCATAGATGCATGCTAGCCCGCATAACAGACTTTAGAAATTGCGGTATTATGGCTAGCCCTGCCAAGTATGACCAGCTGTCAGGGTTCTGGCATATATGATATGCAGCCATCCGTAAGAAGGGCGCTAAATCGAGCTGCTAAATGACGGAATGACCAGATGTATTTCGGCGAACTAATCTGAACCTGTAAGAAGGTTGAGATCAAGTACCTCCTACGATACTGATTTCGAAAGAGGAAGGACCGTCAGCACCAGAGCTCTGATTGGTGTTTGATGAGTAGCTCATGATCTGATTGATCACAATTCCCCAAGGGGGTACCAATAGCTAAAGATACCAGTAAATGTGGCTTACGATGGTGAACGCCAAGGGCACATGACTGCTGCAAGCCATGTTGGATCCTTGTCAAGACTGGTATACATTCACTGAGGCTGGGTGAATATTGCGAAAGGGCGCCCCAATTAGGTGTAGCTTCCGCCTGGAGCTATCGTGGTGGAGGGGCTGAGGGCCGTTGCCCACACCACTGGAGAGGAAGACACGAGTTACTGAGCTTCGAAACGTGAACGGACCAGAGGGCTAAGTTTGCGCCATCAGGTATGTGTTGAATCAGTGGGGAGGCTAATAGTACAAAAACAGCGCAACTCCTTAGTGCGGCAAGCGTACCCAGCCATCACCAATCCGGTAGTCTCTTTGTCCACGCTGAGACGCAGATACACTACAGTGTAAGTGAACAGTAGAACTCGAGATTGAGTAGTTCGCTACAAATATCATCTTATGACTGACCCTGGACAAAGAATTCTCTTTGGTTGATCCGCCCTTCACACCTTGTTCTAGCTCCTTCGCCATCACCGCAAAGAGTAACAGACCAGGAAAACACAGTTCCGGTACTCTAGTTGCATACCTTTCCTACAACTTGGCGTCTTTTAGTTGTCGAATTTGCTTGTACACATACCAAAACATTGGAGCCGGTGAGGAACGGGTAACTGCAATAGGTTCGTCCCCTGAAGGCTTTGCGGACTGCTATGCATCGTCGCGACACAGCAAACCTAACATGAGGCAAGATTTTAGCTGTTGTTGCTGACTTATATACAGCAATACATCTGCAACACGGCTATTTGACTGGAGGGACCTTGAGAAATACAAGACCACGGACCAGAGACAACGTCTCAGCCGCCGTCCTGGGTAGCTGAAACACTTCGCCCGCAGTGCAGAGACATACCTTCGACCTGCTATTAGATTGCCACCTTGAAAAATTGTCGCAATCACTTCTGGTAAGGTACTGAGTCAGGAGGCGAAGACAAAGCGGTAGAGAGAACAACACATCCGCCCGCAATCTCCACTGTCGCAGCGACCAACTCCATTGTGCGCTGATTCTCGTTACGATGAGGGGTGATTCGCTCATCCAACAACATCCCCCCACCCCGCCCAATGCTGGGGCAGAGTACCAAGTCGGACTTCATCAAGTTGCCGAATACAACGCCGACCGCGGATGTTCATTCGGAGAGGCAGGGTATGGTTCCCCAAGCTCGGTGGCGCACCAAGGCATCCCTTCGCATGCGTCACATGGCGACGACAACATTCATGGGCTTGGACTAGTAGGTCTACAATACGTGAGAAAACCTGCATTCTCATAATCGTTTAAATGCTGATCAATCCCCAGGACGGTTATGGACCGCCGACAGAGTTTTTCCCTAACGGCTCGTATGGCCGCATGTCGGTAAGTGAGTCTCAGGTAGAGTCAGCGGCGACATGGCTAATGGATAATAGAACGATCAAGTCTTGTTCTCTCCGCCAACACCAAGTTCTGCTAACGGTGATGAAGCAAGTCGGGCGGCGACCCGCAGCAGAAGAAGAATGACCGCATCCACATCTCCGCAAGAAACCCAAATAAGCCTAAGGCCAAAAGCAATACCGAGATCCAGGAAAGCGAAAACAGCAAAGGGAGACAGGCAGAAAATACCCAAGCTGACTGCGCCGCTGAGTATATTAACAAAAGAACTGCACAACATTCCGATCAAGAACATGGAAGAGTGGGTCAACAGGCCAGCGGATGTTCGAAGACGAGAAGCAGAAAAACGGAACGGATACATTGCTCGTCCAATGAACTCGTTCATGCTGTACAGGTCAGCATTCGCAGAAAGAGCCAAGTCATGGTGCTTGCAAAACAACCATCAAGTTGTGTCATCGGTGGCCGGGGAAAGCTGGCCTCTTGAGCCGCCAGAGATCCGCGACCTCTACAGCGAATATGCAAAGCTCGAAAGAATTAATCATCAGAACGCGCACCCGACGTACAAATTTTCACCAAGCAAGACGGCCGCTCTAGCTCGGAAGCGAAGAAACGAATGGTCAGACGAGGAGGAACCTAGCGATTTAGACGACACCGAGTGGGCACCAGGTGCGGGAAGGTCACGCCCTCGGCAAACTAGGCGCATCGAACGCTCGATCAGTCACCCATCGAGTGGGATTGGCACAGAATACTTTGATGGAACATTCGGTCCAAACGCGAACGGTGTCAACAGATCCTCATGGGAGATGACGAATGAAGGACAGCCTATGCCGATGCCGATTCCGATGGGCCACAACGATCTCTACAACTGGCCTTACCACACTGCACCGTATGCGAACATGCACATGAGCCCAAGCTACACAGACGACCTGCACAAGCCGTTGAGTACCTCGACGTTTTCCAACCATTTCCAATCGAACCCATCGATGCTTGGCTTGCCCGGGGGCAGCGCGGACGACTTGCTCCAACAACTCCATCCACACGTGAGAACTCCCTTTGACGAAGGACCGTTGGATCCGATGCTATTGGCATATGGAGGCAGCCAATCCAGTATTGATCCAGCATCTCTCCAATCCAACGACTACCGGAACAACCAGATCAGCATGCAAGAAGCGCTATCGTATCACGACCTCGACAACCTGCTGGATCTTCCGCATGACGAGTATCAAGCTTGGCAACCCGATCCGACCAGGGTGTCTTTGGAGCAAGAGTCTGAGTTTGACAAATGGGTGGGCGAGCAATAATTTAGGGCGTTTTAGCTTATGTCTGTGTGAGTGTTTTGGTTGCTTCTATGCAGTATGATGTACGATTCAGCGTTCACGCGGTGATACCCATTCTCTTGGTTGGGGTAGAATGGCGCTTGGTGAACTCTTACTATGTACACCACCGGTAGCATACACGGCGTCTTTTTGTCAAAAGCTCCTAAAATTGGAGCACTTTAGATATGATTTAGCTATGGGTAAACAGAAAAGAGCCAGTAGAGCTTCATGTTCCTGCATCCACTCACTGCTCAATGTTACGAACGTGATACCGCGGGTGCCGAAACTCCTCGGACTGGATTGTGCGTGATGATAGCAATGACGCGCATCTCCCCAGGCTGCCTTTGTAGAGCCTGGCGAGTGAGGGTGCGTAGGTAGATGGTGGTGTGCAAGGGATTGCCAAAAGCGTGAGGTTGGACTTGACAATGCCAAGACCTGTTATTGCCGTCTCTGCCCCACCCATGCACCCCTGTCTCCAACGAGGACGCGCCTTACTCTTCTACCAATGAGGGGTCGGCCAACCATCCACGAATTGAACACTTCCTCATGATATGCTAGTACAGATGCATTCTCCACGGCAAGCCAGGAACTTTTCTGTGCACCATTAGCCGGATTTCCACAAACCTGACAAGAGCTGCTCTTCGTATAACTCGAAAATTGCATAGCACCCTAAGCAAAAAGTCGCCATTACTCACGATATCCCCAACTTACCAACAGCACACACACACCTCAACCATGTACGGCGAAGCAGCAAATAAGCTGGTAACGATACCCTCGGTACTCCATGATTTGGTCACGTCTAAGAAAAAGCCAGGTCCAAAACGCAAAGCGCACCCTTGCCCTTCCTCACCTCCCGCCCTACGCCTCAGAACTTACACGCTCTATTGTACGCGAGGTACGCGACTTGGATAAGGACGTATCCTCCATTCTTGCTCCTTACAGTGGCTCCTTCAATCCCAGCGCCTCACCCGAAACCGCTTGTGCACTCCTTGTCAACCATCTCTGCATGCGCCGCAACAAGCGATGTCTATTGGCGTACCACCGGGTCCGCAGTGATAAATTGGAGGAGTATTGTTGGGAGGGAATTGACGTGCTCGAGCAACAGGGTAGCAAAGACCACGCCACAGAAGCCACGAGGGGAAGCGCCCTGGGTACCGGGGGCGGAAGAGAGGAAAGTAGTCTGAGCCCAGAAGAGGAGGAATACGTAAGACAGTACAGTGACCTTCTCGCGGCATACAAGGGCCAATGGACGGATATAGATCTAACAGGAAGCCTGGAGCCGCCACGCGATCTTTTCATTGACGTCCGAGTGCTCAAGGATGCCGGTGAGATACAGACCGAGTACGGGTACGTATAGTCCCTTGATGAACTTCGGCATGCCGAAGCACGGCAGGAACAAGAACCAATAAGCTAACCAGCCAATAAAATTGCACAGCTCAATAACCCTGACCAAAAATTCCCAATTCTACGTCCGCCAAGGTGATGTCGAACGCTTGATCGCACAGGGATACCTTCAACGCCTGAGCTAAACCAGAAACGAACCCCCTCTCCCGCAATCAGCGCATTCAAGGTTCCAGAAGCTCGATAAGACAAAGCTTCAGCAGGATACACACAGATCGTACGGTATAGCCGAAGAGAAAAGCCCTTCCAGTGGCTGGTCTAAAACCCCTACAACCCACCAACCACGATCCAACGCGCCCGCATTGCCGCCAAATTAAACTTTTCCCCATACGCCTCCACCATGTCCCTCCCACATTTTCTTCCTCGTCTTCGCCCCGAAGTTGGGGTAAAGGAACCTCAGGCCCCGCACGCCTTGGCCTGCGCACGAAGCAAGACTAACCAGGCAAAGGGATATCCGAATTCAGTCTAGGTACCAGGGCTATAGCGGCGTGGACCATGCATGTGCTGCAAAGCAAAACGGCAAACAAGTACCCAACATGACCAAATTCCCATACTTTACCGCACGCACGGTGTCCTGAGGTACATTTGCTTTTCTCGCTTCCCGCCTCCCCTCGCCTTCGCAGGTGGTAGGCGCTTTTTTGCCACCCTTGCACGCATGCCCTCATGTGACATTTTTTGGCTTCGCCACCCTTGTGCATAGGACAAACACAACGGCCTGTGGAAGCTTACTGCATACAGGCTTTTTAACTTCTCCAGCTAGGGCTTGTTCGCTGGTATGCATACATGCGGGCTGTGTTTGTTGCAAAAGGTATAGTGTCAGGGCTAGTACGCTTCCCATTCGTCAATCGTGAAAAGAGAGGATATAAATGGGTACCGGTGGACGGCAGCAAGGGCCGGCGGCCACGCGAGAGGTGTCGATGTGGGTTCTGGAATGCGCTGTATGTACGTGCGGACGGGAAGAGGCTTCTTGCACCATCTGACGTGCGGCGGGGGTTTCTTGGGGGAGTTCGTGATACCAAATGCTTAGAGTGCGGGGACTCAACAACACGATCAGACACTGCAGTAGCAAAGAGAACCCGACGACTATGCATTCATTGAAGAGAATTATTCTAGTTTCAATTTACATTCATCCTTTAAAAAGACATTGAGGTTGTGTGCATCCATGTAGAGGAATCCTAACCTTTACGTAGAATCGAGAACCTGCTGTCCTTTCTCTCATAGCTATTGCTGTTATGTAGATAACTGAAATGCAGGTGCAAACTTATTTTTCTTAATGTACAAAAGACACCGTTTCCGTAGGACCCAGTTATGGCACGATCGATCAAACGGGAAGAAGGAGGCTGAGGCTCAAAATAGACCTGTGACAAGGTGGTGTAAATCAAAATAGAGGGTGAGTTGACATTGGATCCACACTCACGTTTTGAAGAGGATCCTAGGTTCCCGTATGCTGAAACCTCATTTGAATGCTCTGAAAGCGTGCTTTGTTCACATACCCAATTCCATTTCCGAATGCAGTGTCCGTCCCCACCAGTCCTGAACAAGAAACAAGAGAGCCGCAACAATCTCTGCACCCGTGGTGGCAGTGTAACAGCTGTGGAAAACGTATGGGAAAAAGGGTGTGCACGCAAGAAGATTTTCGGCGGGTGGAAGACTCTCAAACAACGCTGTATCGACCAGTGGCGGTACGAGTCGTAGATGCATCTTCTGCCGCAATTGTACCTTCGCGCAGGAGGCGGGTGAGTTCCATCATAGCCTGTGTGACAATGTTCTCCGTATCTCCCTCAACCAGAATGTACAGCTTAGGAAGATCATTCTCACCAGGCTGCTTGCCAGGTGGGTAAAAATTACCCTTTGTCGTAATCGAGACACCAGTCTGATCCAGAATCTTGGCCACATTGGTTCGATTGGTGACGGCCCATCGAGCTTTCTGGGGGAAGTCGTTAATCTCAATAGTCGAATGGTAGAGACCAGCGTCAGGGCCTTTGTTGTCAATGGGCTGGCCCGCGTGGATCATGCCCTTCTTGCTGAGCCTACCGTCGACCTTGGAGGCAGCAGCCATCGCCCTCTCCCTTGCACTCATCGGCTTGCCAGTGGCAGCAGCTTCGGGACGCTCAGTCTTGTTGACGACAATCTTGCTGTTAAGTAGCTTCATCCAGTGTGGTTGATCCTCGACTTCAGCAGCAGGTGTATTTCCTTCAGCAGCCTTGGCCGCGCCAGGACCAGTAACCTCGGGTTTCTTGACGATCGGCAGAATCTCTTCTTCGTCATCGCTGTCTTCAATACCTTCTAGCTTAAGTTGACGCTTCTCGCGCTTCTTCTCAAGAGCACGAGTTGCATCAAGTCGATCGAGACCTTTACCACCGAAGCCACCGTAGTACTTCTCGGTACCTGCCTTTGCCTTCTCATGGAAGGTATCGGCCATTTCTTGAAGCTTTTCAAGAACTTCTGCTCCGCTTTCCTTTAGTGCTTTGACAACATGGATAGCGAAGCGCTCTTGGCCGGGGTTCTCAATAAGGGTGATAGCAGTACCCTTGTTACCTGCACGACCAGTTCGACCGCACCTGTGAACATAATCTTCCACTATCAACTACGTCAGCAAAAAGTGATGTATATACGCAGGAATGGAGATGGTACTTACAGTGAGTTGGGCAGTCAAAGTTCAATACGAGTGCTAGACCAGGGACGTCAAGACCACGTGCTGCTACAGACGTGGCAATGAGGATAGAAAGAACACCCTGCTTGAAATCACTAATCGCTTCGTTACGATCAGTCTGATCTTTAGCTCCGTGAATCGTATTAACAGAGAAATACTTGGCCTTGTAGAGCTTAGATAACAAATCTTCCGCAGTTTCCTGCCGCTCCGTAAATATTAATACCTGTGCGTTCTCATCCTCGGAGAAGAGCTGGCCGAGATGCAGGAGCAACTTGTTGATCTTCTTCTCATAACTATTAGGAACAATGGAAATGATCTGGGTAATCTCAGGTGCCACTTTGGATCTACCACCGATTGTCACTTCTGCTGGATTGTTCAGGGCTTTGCGGGCCAATGCAACCATGTTCTTTGGCATGGTTGCTGAGAAGAGCACGGTTTGGCGATCTGGGCGCACGTTTGCAAGAATCTTCATGACTTGTGGTTCAAAACCCATGTCGAACATGCGATCAGCCTCATCAAGAACAACATAGGTAATGCGGCGGAAGGAGAGCACACGACCCTGGTTTGCAGTCATCAAATCGATCAGGCGACCGGGTGTTCCACAGAGAATGTGTATGCCACCACGCTTAATCATAGCAATCTGGTCGGAGATAGGCTGTCCACCGTAAGCGCATTTGATGGTTATGCCAGAAGCTGAGAGGAACGGCTTGAGCTCATGGACAATTTGCAATGACAACTCTCGAGTGGGAGCAAGTATCAGTCCAATAGGACCATCAGACGGCTTCAGTGGGCGTTGATCAAGAATGTGACGAATCATAGGTATACCGAACGCAAGTGTCTTTCCAGAACCAGTTTTTGCGACACCGATGAGGTCACGTCCAGAAAGAGAGATGGGAGCAGCTTGTGCCTGGATAGATGTGGGCTTCTGGTAGCCTACGCGAGTGAAGACATCCATGGTTGCCTGCAGCAAGCCCATCTGGGCCCACTTGGTGACGGGTCGAGGTACATCATCTGGCTTCACTTTGATGCCGTCAAGCTCATGACGGAGATCGGCAACTTCTTCTGGCGTCATCTGAGAAACCTCGAGCGGCTCAGTGTAAAAAGATTTTCGGAACGGCTCGTACTCAACTTTATCGTGGTCAACAGTGGCAACCTCCTTCTTCTTTTTCTTGGCAGCACGAAGTTCAAGAAGATCTTGCGCCTCAACAGAGGTCTCAACGGGTTCGAGCTCGTCGGCGAACATGGCCTGGCCCGAAGGTGCACCGCGGCTGGGTTGTGGTTCGGTCAAGTCGGCCATGAAGGCATCGAGAGGATCGATTTCGTCTTCTTCGGCCCCTACAGTTTCGTCAACGTCCATCTTGTCGGCGGCGGGGACTTGGACGGCAGGTGCTTCTTCCATGGTAGCGTCTTGGCTGTTCTCGTTGGCTATATCCGCGCGACGCTTCTCAAGGCGAGCTTGGAGCTCCGCATTGTTCTCTTCATCATCACTTCCAATACCACTCATTGCAGCGTCATCGTCTTCGGCACCGTCAGCTTCGGGTTCAGGTTCGTCGTTCGCAGTAAATTCGGGGAGGGCTTGAAACTTGCGCTTTCGCGTTGGGCCTTCTTCGTCGAGGAAGGCTTTTCTTGAAGTTTCAGCCTCGGCTTCTGCCGCTGTCTTAGTCTTGAGGCCAAAAGAGCCAATGTTGCCGTTGCCCTTGGCGGTTGATTGATCTGTATGGGTGAGCTCGTGATTGTGTGAAGGGGCTACGGTGGAAGACATACTGCTAGCGGCCGTCACTGTCTTGCCAGCAGGCTTGGCCATGTCCAAGGGGCGGGCGGCAGCAGAAGCATCCAGCTTGAAGGTCGACTTCTCGGGCTGCTTCTGTTTGAGTTTCTCAGTAACGCTTTTCTGCGGAACTTTAGTCTTAGCGGTGTCAAGCTTGGCCTCACTTGCTGGGGCCTGTGGAGGCGGCGTCGCAGCAGCAGCGGAGGGAGTTGCAGGTGCAGTGTCGGCTGGCGAGGCACCAGAGCCCTGTGTATCTGTCTTTTCTTTGGCAAGGCGCTCAGCATTGCGCTTCTTCCATTCGGCCAGCTTTGCTGCACGTTCAGCGAGCTTGTCCTTGGCTTGTGTCTCAGGGTCCTTCTTCCTGTCGTCGCGCGGGGGAGCATCTAGTCGATCCCGTCTGTTATCTGGCGCTGGTGTGATCGACGAGCGAGAGTCAGGCCGGCGTGAGGTAGAGCGTCTGCGCCTGTCTCTGTCATCGTCGCGGTCCCGTCTACTGCTGTAGCGGTCTCCACGGTCTCGTGATCGGTTACGGCGGCGAGGGGGAGAGCGCGAGCGGCGGTAGTATGTGTCGCGGTCGCGGTCACGGTCACGGTCGCGATCACGACGGTCCCGGCGGTCCCTATCATCTCTGAAGCGGCTCTCTCCACTGTAGCGATCTCCCCGGCGGTCTCTTTCTCTGTCTCTGGATCTGTCGCGCCGCGGGCTGTAGCGTCGACGATCTCGGTCGTCGTACCTTGAGGAATCAGCGTGGCGCGTCGCCATCTTAAGTCGGTGGTATTACTGTGTGCAGTCAATGCAATGCAGTGTCACTCGTGCAGCAGTAGATGGTGGTGTCACTGTAACTGCGTGGGGTGAATGGTCGTCGAGATGTTTCCAAGTCCCAAAGTTGTTCATGCCCCAAGCGTCCGTCTGCCTTGGCCGATGGAAGTGTGGTACGTGCGAGACGCTAAAGCCGAAATCTTGGGGCGCTAGGAATAATTTTTGGAAGGTTGCGACAGTTCACGACAAAGGTGAAGCAAAGAACACCAAACCACCTACAAAATGTCTGTAAATCCACGCAAGAGAAAGGTTGTCACACGCCTGGCGCCAGAGCCCAGCGATTCAGAAGACGAATTAGGTGGCGGACTGCTCGAGGGCATCTTGTCGCATTCCGAAGACGACTCGGACGACAGCCAAGAAGAAGATGTCGAGACGGATGCCAGCAGCGTGATTGAGGGCCTTTCCGATGAAGATGCAGAGGATGACGAAGAGGAAGAGGAGAACAGTGACGAAGAACAAATTCGTGAGGAAATGCGCAACCTCAACACCTCCGACGGGCCTTTGCGAAAGAAGAAGGGACTACCGACCCATGAGATGGACCTTGATACTGGCGCAAGCGCGGAGCTAGACGAAGACGAAAACCTCAAGCCCAATTACACTGTGACCACAGATGCACACGGCAATACCCGCTATTTGTACAAAGAGATCGACCCAATCTACGAGTCGGACGACTCCGACGCCGAAGCTACAAACACAATTGGCAACATTGACCTCAAGTACTACGACGAATATCCCCACATTGGTTATGACATCAATGGCAAGAAGATCATGCGCCCGGCCAAGGGAGAGGCATTGGATGCGCTTTTGGATAGTATTGACATACCCAAGGGCTGGACAGGTCTGACGGATCCCGAGACAGGAAAGCCGTTGAACCTGTCGGAAGAGGAACTGGACGTGCTCAAAAGGCTCACAAGGAATGAGGTTGTCGAGGATGGCTACGACCCCTACCCGGAGATGGTCGCCTACTTCTCCGGCAAGCAGGAGATTATGCCACTGAGCGCTGCGCCCGAGCCCAAGCGGCGATTCATTCCTTCCAAGCACGAAGCCAAGCGCGTCATGAAGCTTGTCAAGGCTATCAAAGAGGGCCGCATCAAACCCTACAAGCCGCCGCAAGAAGAGGAAGAAGAGCAGGATGAGTTCACCTTTGACGTTTGGGCCGACGAGAAACCCCGGCCAGACAACACAATGCACATTCCCGCTCCCAAGTTGCCACCGCCGGGCTACGAAGCAAGCTATCACCCGCCACCCGAGTACCTACCAGACAAGGATGAGGAGAAGGCATGGTTGGAGGCAGACGAGGAGGACAGAGAAAGGGAATTCTTGCCTAAGAACTACGGTGCGCTACGTAAAGTTCCCGGCTACGAGACATTTGTCAAGGAACGATTCGAGCGAAGTCTGGACCTCTACCTGGCTCCTCGTGTGCGGAGAAACCGACTCAACATCGACCCAGAATCCCTATTACCCAAGCTACCGAACCCCGAGGAACTCAAGCCTTTCCCTACAACTTGTGCTGCGATTTTCCGTGGACAAGAAGGACGCGTACGCTGTGTCTCTGTTGACCCCCACGGCATCTTCGTTGCCAGTGGAGGTGACGACGGCTACATTCGAATCTGGGAAATCTTAACTGGCCGACAAGTCTGGAATGCTAAGCTCTCAGACGAAGAGGCTGTCGATGCCGTACAATGGAGGCCCACCAAGGACGCATCCATCGTCGCTGCTGCCTGTGGCGAGAACGTCTTCCTCATCGTTCCCTTTACTCTCCTCTCCCCCGACATTGAACAAGCCAGTCGCGACGTCCTTGACGCAGGCTGGGGCTACGCCGCCACAAAAGGCGCCACAACACCCAAAGGCGAAGACGCTCCCAAACAGCCCCCAGGCAAATGGAGCCGCCCCGGCACACGCCTCGAATCCAAGGGTGTCCTCCTCCAAGTCCAAGTCCGCTCTGCCATCAAAGTCCTGAATTGGCATCGCAAAGGCGAATACTTCACCACCGTCTCCCCCCGCGGTCAATCCACTGCAATCGCCATCCACGCCATATCCAAGCACCTAACCCAACTCCCCTTCCGCCGCCTCAAGGGCCTGGCCCAAACAGCGCAGTTCCACCCCTCGAAAGCAATCTTCTTCGCCGCAACCCGCAACACGATCCGCGCCTACGACCTCGCCAAGCAGGAACTCGTCAAGATACTGCAACCTGGCGCGAAATGGATTTCCAACATCGATGTCCATCCTGGTGGCGACAATCTGATTGTCAGTTCGTACGATAAGCGTGTCCTTTGGATGGACATGGATCTCTCGACTAAACCGTACAAGACGATGCGGTTCCACAAGGAGGCGGTGCGCTCGGTCAAGTTCCATCAGGGCGGTCTGCCGCTGTTTGCTGATACGTCGGATGATGGCACGATTCAGGTTTTCCACGGCAAGGTTGTGGGTGATTTGATGGAGAATGCTACGATTGTGCCGTTGAAGGTGCTCAAGGGGCATAAGGTGAAGAGTAAGCTGGGAGTTATGGCGTTGGACTGGCATCCCAGGGAGCCGTGGTGTGTTTCTGCGGGTGCGGATGGGACGTTGAGGTTGTGGTGTTAGAGAGTGGTGGTTTTTATGTACTTTTCTTCTTACTATCTCGATGGAGATATCGCAGCATTTTGCATGGCGTTCGAGAGAAAATATAAAAGGATGGGACGAATAAATTCTTTGAACAGTATGATCCACTGCTCTCCGATGAATCATGGTTTTTGGCTGCCAACGCTGCCTTTTTTTTCGCTCTGGTCATCAAATGGACCCAGAACGACGCAAAAAAAAACATTTCTTCCTCTACGAATCCACCTACAACTTCCGACTCCTAACCAACCCGCTCTTAATACCCGTAAGCTCACCCCCATAACTCGCGCTTCCCTTGGCCGCAGCACTCTTATCAAACACCTGCTTCATACTCTTGAGCTTCTTCTGCTTCTCCTTGTACTTTTCCTTCTTCTTCACACGCGGATTGCGTACGCTCTTCTTGCGATGTGGTGTTAATCCCTGTTTCGGTCATGTTAGCATTTTGCATCCCCAAAAGTAAACCCATATAATGCAAGTATACAAAAGGTTGCATGAAGAAAAGACAGAACATACCTTATTCTTCTGAATTTGATAAGAAATCTGACGCCGTCCATCATCCCCGATAATCTCTTCTTCAATAACTTGAGCACCTTGTTGTTTGGCAAGAGCATACGCTTCTGCACGCTCGAGTTTCGCTTGCTTTTTGTCGTTGGAGCGAGCGGCCACCATGTCGTAGTAGCCGTCTTCGTCTTCGTAGTCGTCGCGGCGTGTACCGGGAGCTTCATCCGCAGAAGATGCACCATCGTCGTCACCAAGTGCCACGCCTGGACCGGCATCCTTGTGTTGACCGCGCTTCTCAGCTTCGGCTTGCAGACGAGCTTGCCGGTCCTTGAGACGCTCGCGGTGGGGGACGTCGGCATCGCCGCCATAGTCCTTGCCTGCAGCATCGCGCTTGTTGGCTTTTTGGGCGATTTGAGAGGTGTAGAAGCGGAGGGAGCGCTTTTTCTTCGCCTTTTCGGCGGCTTCGTGGGCAGTGAGGGCTGTCTCTTCGCCGAAGTCTGAGTCGTCGGCGTTGAGGAGGTTGAGCTTGGGCTGTGCGGTCTTCTTCTTCCGCGCTGCTTTCTTGAGAGCAGCTTTGTCTGCAAGCATATCGAGCGACGCAAGATCTTGCTCAGCCTTAGCCAATTTCGCAGCACGTCGTGCTGCTGCTTCTGCCTGCGCAACCTCTGCCGCTCTTTGCGCCTTGGTCTTCTTCTGCTTTGTGGGTTTCTTGACAGCCAGATCGGTGGTGTCACTCTCTGCAAAGCTTGTCTCATCCTCAGAAGCGTCGTCACCGCCTTCGGTCTCGACCATGGGATCGGCGATTGGCAGGCTCTCTACTCTTGTCCACATCTTCTGGCACTTGAGCAAGCTCTCCATTACTGGATGCTCATGTAGCTCGACAGGGTCCAATGCGATGGCTGGAGTTGCGTCATCTGTAGCGGTGGAACCAAGAACAGCAAAGTACATAGCCATTGCAGCGAGGTAAGCTGCGCATGCCCGGTACTTTGTTATGACTGTGGGTGTAGGAACCAATCTGTTATTCTTTGCCGCCTGCGCCTTAAGCACTCTCTCAGCGGCATTAGCGGCAGCGGCCAATTCCTCGTGCAGGGGTTGTAGTCGCAAGTACTCCTTAGAAATGTGCTCAAACTCCGGGTATCGTGTCCGCATAATTTTCATCTTTTCCTCCTGTGGCATGAAATCTGTGATTTGAAGCTGAGGCAAAACCTCGGTAACCACTGCGGCACCTTCAGCGTTTTCCTCACCATCCTCTCCAAGCCATTCGTCTTGGTCAAAGCCAAAGTCAGCTTCGGTCATGCTCTGCAGCTGCTTCTTTTGTATGCGTCTGGCCTCTGCCTCTTCGTCTAAGGCGTCTTGCTCAGTCTCAATGGCGTCAGCATCGTAGTAGTCCTTTTTTGAGGCGCCCCATGCCCCGAGTTCTTCGTCTTGGTCTTCCTCGTCGGTTTGCTTGCGCTTTCCAGAAGTTTCATCGTCTGAGCCATCGCTAACGTCGTCGTCGAAATTGTCTTCGTCATCATCGTCGCTTCCAGCATCGAGAATCTCTTCATCTGAGGGCTGAAGAAATTTATCTGGACATAACATCAGCCATAACCCATGGAATTGACATCATCTTTAAACCAACCTTCTTCCTGGTACCTCCGCATCTTCTTGGCGGCAGGTCCCTCGTCCAGCAGCACCTTGTCGCGGTTCATGTGAAACTCATCCTCAGAATCGGCGACATCTTCAAAGGTGTTGATCCTCATTCGGGAATCCTCTTCTTTTGGCGCCTTGAATGCGCCAGATGCGCCGCCGCCCACTTTTCTCTTCTTGGCCATGATCGCGCCGTTCCGCTGTGTCGTGGCGATATTTGTCAGTCGTTGTCGCAGTCGTCTTTGTCGCGCGCCCAACTTTTTTTCCGAGCAAAGTCTTGGCATTTCCGCGGGCAATCGAAAGCGACCCACTTCGCTGCCGAGCAGCCAGCCACGATTCGGTCAAGCGCATCTGCAAGGGTCCCATATCGTGGCCCACTCTCCATTCGTCGACACCATTTGCAAAGATCAGCAGTTGAGGAATATCTGTCACGCCTAGTCCATTTGAGAGGCACTGTACACGTTGCAGTATGACTAGAAGCGATTCTTTTGAGAAAGAGAAGTGCACAACTACTTTGGAGGCTTACAAAGCACAAACACATGATGGACATATTTTACATAAATCCTACTTCTTGACTTCCCTAGCAATGCTTTTTCTATCAAAGGCTGCAGCGGCAAATGCTCCTCCTTCTGGGCCCGTGATACCTAATCAGGCCTTCAAATACAAACTGAGCCTTCCCGTAGCCGTCGAACTCCCACATGTGTCGGTCATCTCACCCGGGCATAGGAGACAACAGCCTGAATGATTTATCTCGGGTGCCGGGTTTACGACAGTATTCCCATAAATTCAAGCTGTACTAGTCGTCACAGAGAGGTGTATGAGATTCTTGCAATACATGGCGCACATTCCGATTGACATGCGACTGTTGGCAAATGATGGTCCTAATAGAAATGTCTTCCCGAGGAAGCTTGGTAGCAGCCCCTATATAGACACTGATTCCTCATTTTCGGGGGCACGGGTGCCGAAAGCTCTGTTTTGCATTTGTCGTACTCTTGCACTGGGATTGCCCTTTCTTGTGGACACTCTCATCGTCAAAACTATACCTTCACTAGATTAGCATGTTTATCACCAACACAAAGATGCTTGATTGCCTGTAAGTGATCTTCTGTTCTGGAACAAATGCTACTTTATCATGAAAGAATAGCCGCTGAAATGTGCAAAGGACAACGTGGGTAGCGGAAAAGTGAGGTGGTTGCTTATATGGGCTACATCTGAATGCAGGTTTTCCAGACAATAGTCCGGTGCTGGTGATACAAATCGTATGACTAGGAGGTTTATAGCCGAAGATTCCTCGGTCTGATTCTGGCTGAGTCACTAGACTCATGTTCCCTGGTGTAGATTCTTGCCATGTCTGTGTAACCTTGCGAAGACCGTAGGTATTGGGTGTAAGCCGCATTATTAGAACAGCTCCATGATCAACAGCATGGTCCAGAGGTAAAGAGTGTTTGTATGATCATAAAAAAAAACAAGGAAATGTCTTCCAAAATGCAACACTCTACATCATCTTTTGGTTTCTCCCAAGTTATCGGATTTTCACATATGGCAACTGCTATTGTCTTTTGGCGATAAGACATGCAGTGCTTCTTAGCACTTTCCACAACGCCTCCTTACACCGCCACAGTAATACCATGGGCGCTGGCGCAACGCCCCATGCGGCAAGCCGCCCCACCAAAGTAATCTAACCACTCACAGTTTGCCAGGGTCCCTTTCTCACCACCAAGGTGTGTGGTGCGATAATCCCACAACACAGGAGTATGCCAGGCGCGATGATTACTACACCGTAAGCACCGCCAGGCGCCACTTGTTTCGTCTTAGTTAAATCCTCCGAGGGACCCCGCCGCACGCCCCTCATGTTGCAATTCCTCGCCGGAGCTGCCCTCGTGCTCATCATTGGGCTGGTGAGCTTTGGCATTATGGGCTTTAGCTTCTCCATGAGCAATCGTTTCCCCGTAGATGGCAAGGTAAGCTTATTGGTATACTGGTCAACACGCCCAATTCTCACATTTCATAGACAGTCCTCCTTACCGGCTCATCGCAGGGCATGGGCAGTGAGGTTGCCTGTCTCCTTGCTGCCCGGGGAGCCAATCTTATACTGGTAGCACGCACGGCAAAGAACCTCGAAATCGCTGTCCAACGCGCAAAGTCATGCGCAAAGAACCCTTCAACTCAACGCTTCACGTACATCGTGGCCGACGTAACTTCCGAGTCGGAGAATGCACGTATCCTCAAGGAAGCAACAGCCTGGAATAATGGCCGCGTGCCTGAGGTTGTCTGGTGCATTGCTGGATCCTCAACTCCTGGGCTGTTCATCGAGACGAGCACAGACACGCTGAGAAAGCAGATGGAGCTGAATTACTTCGCGACAGCATACATGGCACAAAAGGCGCTGCAAGCTTGGTTGTATCCCGAGGTGCCACATAGCCCACAAGGGAAAAACACTGACCCGGAAGCGCCCCGGAAGTTCATCATGACTTCCTCCTCACTCGCCTTCATAAACATTGCAGGCTACTCGCCCTACTCCCCGGCAAAGGCTGCCCTCCGCAACCTCGCTGATGGACTCCGCTCAGAGGTCCAAATCTACAACGCAGCGCGCCATTCCAATGCCAACACAGGCGCTACGCCCGCGCCGTTCGATGTAGACATTCATATTGTATTCCCGGGTAGCATACTATCCCCAGGGTTTGAGAACGAGAACAAGACGAAGCATGCCGTCAGCTTTGAGTTGGAGGCTGCCGATCCCAAGCAAACCGAGCTCGAGGCAGCAACCAGCTGCGTCAAAGGTCTAGAAAGTGGAAACTTCATGACGCCGACCAATTATCTGGTACACCTGATGCGCTGGGGCAGCTTGTCTGGTAGTCAGAAGAACAATTGGGTCATTGATGCGATGGGAGCGATTGTAGCAGCGATTGCCTGGTTGTTTATAGCACCAGATTTGAACAAGACGGTCAGGGGCTGGGGGAAGAAGAATGGAATGCCGGCGTATAGGCCAAACGCGCAGTAAGACGCGTTTGCTTGAATATTATTATCTCATGACAATGCGATCTCCATGAATCTTAGTGCCGTATATGGTATACCACTCTCAGAACACTGACTATGATTAGCTGATATCCAAATTTCCATGGTACTTGTAATATATCGCCATGTGATGTTAGACACACTCTGCTCTCTCCCGCTCCCATTGGCTGTCTTGTGGAATTTCACGCGTCCTGTTCACATGTAAGCTCGCTCGAACATCGGACGAATACGTCCGCGCTTCTCCCCAGGATCCCCCCGGTGTCTTGCAACCTACCCCTGTGGCTCGGCGCCTCATCAAAAAAAAAGTGGCAGTAAACCGTGCCCACATCAAACTGACACGTTGTTTAGCATGGTGGTTTTATCCAAATACGCGTCGCTATACTATATGAATAGATACTACTACTCGACCGGACGCTCTCTACTACAACAGCTATTTGGTTCGTATATAATCTTAGTATTCTACAGTAGATTGCAGCTGCTCTGCCCACTGGTTTGGAGAAGTAGGCACAGACCACTACCACTATTTTCCTTGGATAAGGAGGTGCGGTGTCCGGATGCTTATTTGGAAGCAATGACGTTTGATTTGCCCACTCTGTGACACTACTGCCATCTGACGTAAGTGCACAAGCCGCCGCTGGATCCTACAGGTCACGACTTACTTATGTATCGTGCAAGACACTGCGCGGTTGGCGAATGAGATCCACTAGCCAAAACTGCACCATTGCTCGTCGACCTCAACCATTGCACCGTCCCTCGCAGATTAGAGCAACTTCTACCACCAGCCTCAAATCATGGGCGAGATGGGTCAACGTAGCGCTCTTCCATGTCTCCCCACAGATGTTCAGTTGATGGTGTTGGATTATGTATGCCTACCCCGCACCGGCAAAAGCACCTAGCCCCTAATGTGCAACAGAACATCACTGACACCGGCAGTTTAGGTCGACCTCTACCCAGATCTTTTGGCACTTTGCTTAACATCCAAGTCATGGAATCTTGTTGCGACAAAGGTCTTGTACCAGAACATTGTGTTGGATATCAGCACTCGCAATGGCCAGCTCCCACGGTTCCGGCAATGCCTGGAGGTTGGCGCGTTCAGCCACTTGCAGTACGCGCGAAACCTGAGTCTGCTTGACATTCCAAGATTCGAATGCAACAAGATTTTACCCAACAAGGCGCCGTGGATCCATGGCAAGAGAGACGCCTTGTTACTTCAGATTTTGCAAACATTTCCTTCGAATAAATTGATCACGTTCCGGTTAGCTTCCCCTTTTCTGCCGGCACGGTTTTAACACCACACTGCCAGAGTTGAGTACCTACACACAAGATTCTTTTGGCTAACTCGACATCCGCAGTTATCTTTCACAACTCGATCTAGACTCATCTATCATCAACCTTTTACAGAAACAACAGCAGTCGATTGTCGATTTCCAACTATCGCATGGTAACTTCCAGCAGCTTGTAACTCCTATGACCAGGCGCATGACAGCCGGAGTTTCTGGGGATGGGCAAGAAACATTTGGTCTCGTAGAACTTGCTCAGAAACTACCTCGACTGGAAAAGTTCGCCCTGCTCTTGCCGAAAAATTTTGACGTTTTTGCGCTCGAGGACTATTGGAGCAGGTGCTCCTACAGCACCCTCTTCCAGAACAAACAGATTGTATCCCGCGAACTGATGTTTGACGGTTATTTACCCGGAGGATTCGTTTCCGCTATACCTCACATATTCAGTCTCTCCCACGTAACTAGACTTTCTCTCTACGCGGACAATTTCTGGTACTGGAAGCCGCTTTTCAGCTCTCCAGAGCTACGAAACCTGACACATTTCGACTTTCACTCCCCGGACAGTTTTGACGATAGAAAGAGTCTGGACTTTGAAGATTTGTTTACGCGGAATCAAAATCTCCAGCACTTGAGTCTTCATATGCGGTTCTTGAAAACAGTGCCGTTGGAGCCAATGCTTGCAGATGATGGGTCGACTATTACTTCGTATATCTGGCCGCTATGTCCCAGGCTAAAGTCTCTCTCACTTTTCGACTTGTGGTCGGTGGAAAAGAGGGTTTCTTATTTTCCTTCCATGGCATCCCTTGATGCGATTTGCAATGAACTTGGTGCTTTGGAGCAATTTGGGTTGCGCGTCGCGGAAATAGGGGGGTGCCTCCTAGCCGATGGGCACGACAGACAGAAATATGTCCTTGGGCAACTCGTAAGTTTGAGCCACGTGTGTTTTTTTACTATCGAAATATTGACAACTTGTGCTAGAAACCAATTGGCAAGCTCAAAAACTTGAAAATGCTGCATCTCTACCAGGACCGTCTTCGAATCATCGACCCCGACCGACCGAGAAGAAATGTAGCAGCCGAGACCCAACAGCTCGCTGCAATGCTCTTTCAATGGGCGCACGATTTGTGTCCTGACCTCCAAGTCCTCGTCTGGGGCCGTTTTACCGAAACGCTCGACAACGATGTATATTCCCTTCTCGAGGACCAGTTGGAAAGAGAGGGAAGCCTTGACACTAACGTGAATGTTGAACGCATACCACAGCAGTACTATGTAAAGCAAGTCACACGCGTCCAAGGGGAAGCTCCGCATATCACCGCTGTTCCGTTCTCGAGACGTCGGATCCAAAATGAGTTCCCGGACCTGGATTTGCTGGCTTGCGATACTAGCCTTGGCACACTGGATCGCATAGCAAGAGATATTGTGTACTAGGCATAAAATCAACGGGCGAATCCCGGAAGAAAAGTAAAAAAGAAGCGGACGTGTAGGTCGTGCGTGTATAGCGTACGCAGCAACTTGGTGGCAGTGCTTCGGCGAGCCGGCTCTATTTCCCCGGCTTCCCGGACGGCTAGTATGGAGGATCGACGCGCCACTTGGCGTGCCATACCCATGGTTTGGTGCGATACTAGCAATTTCAACACATCTGCCGAAGGAGTGTGTACGGGTAGTGGACCGTTATCGCCCCTATTTCTACTGGTGTCCTGGGCGCGGTTGCGGATATTTATCGATACATGGTTGTGATGCAAGACAGTTTCTCGATTTGGATCTGAATGGTGGTTGATGGCTACATTTGGAGGTTCACTAAAATTGAAACTTGTGGCATCGATCGAGGCGTTAAGATGGTTTATGGTTAATTCTTTTTAATTCCTACTGAGGGGTTGAACAAAGGTGGCTTCCGGTGCGCAAGTGCATATGCAGCTACGTGCTTATCAACTATAAGAGCCTTTAGTATATGTTGTACATAGGTGGCCTGAATAATAATCACTTCCAAAGATGATTAGACATCCCGGTATATTGCTCTACAGCATGTATCTCAGACCCATACTGAACTAATCGAACATCTAGATCTAACACGACACTACAAACCCCACATGATGATCACTTCGCCACACAGGGGAAACCACACACACTTGATCCGGGCCACTAGAACAAGATACGCCTTCCTGAACCGTCCCAACTGTGGCGTGAAGCGAAGCCACCCCTCTATGTCTTGCATGTGAAGTGATTGGACCCTGATATTAACCGGGTGAAAAGGAGTACGCCGCCAAGCCAAACCTCGCCTTCGCCATGTCTCTATCCTAACGGGTTCGGTAGCTAGAGCCCTGTCCTGATCCACACCAAGGCGATTTTAAGATGCAAACGAGATCTCTACAGAGCTTTTTACTCGCTCGCTCGTACACGCACAGCGGCACATGGTGAAAAGACCGGTTTAGGAATCTCAACATGGCATCTGAAGACAATGAAGACGTGCAGTTAAGGCGCCCAGCACGCCTGCAGAGCTATCAACTTGTACTAAATGCGGTAGAATGCACTAGGGCCTTAGACTAAGTGTAGTCTGAGCATTCCGCGGGACATACAAATAAAAGTCTAAATCCTCAGAAAAAGTCGCTCAAGTCGCTCGGTGTAGTCAAGATGCCTCGCTTCTCCCTACTTGTAGCATTGCTAATAGCAGGCACCAGCGCACAAGGCGCAAAATGGAATGGTGAAGTGAAGAAAGTTGGGGGCGTGGAGTACCAATGTAAGTTTTCCCTCTTCATCTTTCCAAATAGAAAGAGAAAGATAGATTCTGATTATTAAAAAAATTAGGTAAATGCTACTCAGACAACTCCTGCTGGCCCACAGCCACCGACTGGGTCGCTCTCAATAAGACCGTATCCGGCGCCTTGCAAATTGCCATTCCGCCCGCTGCATCATGCTACCAGTCCTTCGGCAACGAAACCAGCGTTTACGACGCAGCCAAGTGCGCCGAGACGAAAGAAAAATGGGGTGATGAGCAGTGGCTGTAAGCATCCAGCTTCCCTCCGTTTCCAAAATAAAAACAATTCGTACTGACTTGATGTCCATATAGCACCGACCACCCCATCGCCGCCCTCTGGCCCTTGAAAACAAACAACACCTGCCTGCTCGACAACGCAGCAACAGGAACTTGCACCCGCGGCTTCTACGGCCGCTATGTTATCCTGGCCATCACGAAAGAGCACATCAAAGCCGGTGTTGATTTTGCGCGAAAGAGAAATTTGAGATTGATCATCAGGAATACGGGGCATGATTTTATGTAAGTATTGCCTCTATATGCCTTGATAGATTTTTAAAAGTGTATGTGTATATGGGGGGGGTCTGTTTTTTTTGGATTGCTGACGATGATAATGAGGATAGGGGACGATCAACAGGGTACGGTGCCCTGATTATCAATACGCATGCTTTCAAGGATGTGGAGTTTATCAAGAAGTATACTGGACCTGGAGATTGGAATGGCGGTGCGGCGATTGTCGGGGCGGGCGTCCAGGGTAGGGAGTTGTATCGGAAGTGTTTTGCACAGCAGCCCAAGGTGGTTATTGTTGGAGGGGAGTGCCCGGTATGTTTCCCTTGACTTTTCTCGTTTTACATTGTTATATGTGCTGACGCTGCAAAGACTGTAGGCTGGGCTGGTGGATACATCCAGGGTGGTGGACATGGTCCTCTTACGGGACTGTACGGTATGGGCGCTGAT